TCGATGAGAAGGATCGATTTTGGAGAAGAGAAGAGATCGATACCTGGAGAAGAGATCGATGAGAAGGATCGATTTTGGAGAAACGTATTGGAGATCTGATCGATTTTGGAGACGTGATCGATTAGGGTTAGACAGGGTTAAAATGGTAAATCGGTAATAAGTCAATTTTCATAAGTTACTATGGATTAACTTATCAAAAACAACTTATTACCGGTTTGGTACCGGTATAAGCATTTTTTATTTTTTTTACCCAAACACTCCGTTTTAACTTATCTCCGGTACCAAACTGAAATAAGTCAATAAGTCACTTAAATAAGCTTATCCAAACACCCTATTAGTAAATGTAAAATTACAGTATCGCCCTCCATAACCATGGCCTCTATTCTAATCTGTTGGCAGACTTCTTCAAGGATTCTTCATCGCCTCCACAACTTCGACCTCAATTTCTCCAGGTACGGTTTCCATGGTTTTCGATTTCGATTTCTCAAGGTACGATCTCCGTTCATCTATTTCGACTTCCATGGTCTTCGATTTCTAAGCTTCTTCGAATTCGATTCCGTGGTTCTCGATGTCGATTCCTGGGCCTCGATTCCATGATTTCGATTTGTTCTTGTGAAGTCAATGCCTACTGTTTTGCATCTGTTTTTTCTGATTTTATTTTGTAATTTCATGCTCTATTTTGAGTTCCATGGCTACTGTTTTGCATCTGTTTCTTTCCATGTTACTTTTTTGCATCTTCTTTATTGAATATATGACTGTGAATTTCGACTATTGTTTGTTTTGTGAATTTTGTAGTGATGGATCGAATCACTTGGTTGTACTCATTGACTTATGGAATATTTACATTCAAATGCTCGTGTATTTGCTTTCTTACTGTTTGGTTAATTGAATTGGAGAATAGAAATAACGAAATAGAAACTTTGGACCATATAACATTCACTAGACTTCAAATCAGTACAACCAAATATAACATATTACATGGGAAAGTGATGTAAACTGTGCGAATGGATAGAAATGCTTTTGCAATTTTCTGTGATTTGCTTAAAACTGTGGTGGATTGTTAGCTGATGGTAATATGACAATCGAGGGGTAAGTTGTTATATCTATAGACATATTAGCACACCACACTAAGAATAGAACTATCCAAGTTAGGTTCTATAGGTAAGGGGAAGCACTAAGTCGGTATGTTCCCCTTTCTCTCAAAATCGCAACTTCAACTCTTACCGAGTCAGATGACAAAATCCTGTTAATTTCCCTTTCTCTCAGTCTCAGATGACAGAAATCCCACTGATTTTGGGAGAAAGGGGAATTACCGGGATTTCTGCCATCTGACACAGTAAGAGTTGAAGTTGTTTATCATGAATTATTTAGCTTATAGGCATTATAGATTTGTCATACGCATTGTGAGTTTGTTCATCTTTTTGGTTTGCATGGTTCAGCGGATGTTTGGTTGCAAATTGCAAAATCGACTGTTAATTTGAAGTCCTACTTGTTCCTGAAATTATGTAATGATAATCATTTTCCCATGGATGAGGGTGTGAATTACTTTTGTTGCTCAACTTAAACTTTGTTGATTTTGTAGGCCTAAAAAGCTGAGATCTTCATGGTGGGATTCAAAAATAGGTACATGGTGATGGAAGTGTTTGTGGATCCAAATAAAAATATTTCAAAAGATGATCCAATCATTCTTAGCCAACATAATGTATCAAAAGCAATCAAAGATAGCATTCTCATCAACTTTGGCGAGTGTGGTCTTGCCTCATCACTAGGATCATTTCAAGGTTAGTAAACATTACCAATCATTGATCCATTTTGTTCCTATCAGGACATTTATGTACAGAGACGGACCTAGAAAAAATATCGGGATATTTTTCACAAAATCATCATTCATTGTTTTTCATATGTGAGGTCCTGTGTTCGAGTCTTTTGTTGCAAAAAAAATTCAGAAACATAATAAATCTGAAACTAAAAGCTAAAAACTAAGAAAATGACACTAACAGGATTAGAACTTAGGTTTGAGGTGAAAGAAAAGCCTTGCAAACTAACTCTACCAAGGGAAACTTGTGTTCTCACTGTAGTTTCAAAATATATACGGTGGCACACAACAAATGGATACGGTGACACTTTCACGACTCTATAATTTTTTACACTACAATGTAGGAACAAAGTGGTGGCCCGTGCCACCACATGCACCACCTGGGTGGTTCCGTCCCTGTTTATGTAATTTTCTATATAGGTGTATGTTTGCTCACACGCTTGCACAAGTCAGGGGTCTTCACGGAAACAACTGCTCTATTCTTCGGGTAGAGGTCAGGTTTGTCTACGTCTTACCCTCCAACCCTACTTTCGATTGGGATTGACTGGGTCGGTTTTGGTTTGGTTTGGTTTTATATAGGTGTGTTTTTTTAAATCTTTATTACATATGGACCTCGATATCCTCTTTCCTGCTCGAATACTGACATATCAGGTGCGCCACCTTGCAGTCAAATATCTGAATCACGTCACGAAGATCTGCATTATTAGAGCTTCAAGGGATGAGCATCAAAAAGTTTGGGCTGCAATCACTATGGTCAGGAGCATAGGAAATTGCCCTGTGGTTTTCAACTTATTAGATCTGAGTGGTGAGCTAATTATCATCTAAATGTTTTCGGTTCATCAGCTAGTTTGCCAAACATAGTCTACGTTTTTCAGATAACTCATGAGATTTTTTTTTTCTTTTCGCTTAGTTAGTTATGTGTCGACTAGTTAAATATTACCATTTTTTTCTGAATCAGGAAATATCAAGGCGTGTAAATCTGCAGCCTTAAAGTGTGAAGATTTGAAATTTGAGCATTTGAAGCTTGTATCTGGGGCTCCCCGAACAGAGGACGCGAACAAGCATTTGCAGAATCTTGAGCGGATCAAAATGTTAGAGCACTGATATACGTTGCTTCATTAAGTTCCCGGTAAGCTGAATTTGGCGTATGTGAAAAGAATCGTAAATTGAACATGTTGCTCTCTATGTTTCTTTCTTTCAACTCATATGTTGCTCTCTATGTTACTTTCTTTCAACTCATATGTTGCTCTCTATGTTACTTTCTTTCAACTCATATGTTGCTAATGGCCTAGGGAGAATATGGGATCCCATCTGAACCATCCATCTATTTTAATCCAACGTTTGTGAATAATAGGGGCGGGTTACGTTTTGCCAAAACTAAATCCATGATTATATGGGTGGTTATATACTTATATTCAAATTTGAGTCATCTGTTTTTTAGATCCAACGATTGATAGGGGTTCCCTTGTTATATTTTTTAGGGTTCTCTCATGAAATCATTGGAACCAACCCATCGTAGTATACAAAGGGTGATCCATTGCCATAACTTCAGTATCTCTCACTTATTAGCTGAATTGAATTCCATATTTTTTTATTTTTTCGTCATTTGGATAAGAACCCTTCGAGAGTTGAATCTTTGACCTTTGCATCATAAAAGAAAGAGGCCCTTAGAAAGATTTTATATTTTGAAAAGTGTGTGTGTGTATATATATATATATGCAAAAGATCGTGTGAGAAGAGATCTGGACCCTTGATCACCTTTAATCTCAAACCAACCCATCAATTGCGCTTGATACGGGGAGTGATCCGGTGCATCTCATCATAATGTGCATCCAAGGGTGGAGATCCCTTCTTACACTTCTTATTTTAACTATTTTTCCCACCGGAACCCAATCCTATATATATAGGGAGTCATTCAAAGGGAACTCAATAATTTGTGATAACTGTGAGATCCAATCTCAACCTCTCATTAACAATAATCAATGATTAAATTAATATTTCGGTAATTATCCATTAATTTTAAAAAAAAAATCATGGATAATATTTAGGGGTAAAGTAGTCTTTTTGTAAATCTTTCTCTCTCTGGCGAACCTTATTATTATCACAAATTACTGAGTTCTCATATATATATATATATTATATTATATATATATATATTATATATATACATGCACGAAACTTATACACACTCATATTTGGTGAGGTTTGAACCTTGACCTCCATGGATGCTGAGATCTACTAGTAACTTAGATACCGCTTTGTTAATAACCTTTTGGTGTATTACAATGGATGTGAAAATTCTATTCGTTTATATACTATTTACCTGCATCTTTCCTATTTGTGTGGCCTAGCTTCTATTCTTCAAATAGAACTCGTAATCACATCTTCGTTTCTTTTTGCACCATCCAGGACAGTTGTCACTTTTATTTGTTGAAGAAAATCATGAGGCCGTCGTGATCGGGTCTTTGCTCGGGATCCTTAGATTTTTACAATGGCTTGTCCCCGGTTTGAGCTACTGAGTCATGGATCAACACGGTGTTGTTTTTGTTTTTTGCAGATGGGTCGAAGGTATTTAGGTGGGATTTATTGGTTTTTTTCCCCTACTTTACTTTTTGAGTTTTATCTTTATTTCAAGTCCGATATCTGTCTTTCATGTAAATGTGAAATGTTAAACGATGAAAGTGAATTAGGACTCATTTTAGTTTCAGAATTATGGAAAAAAAACTCTCGTCAAATTCAAAATGTGACATTTTCTGAAGAGCATATGCACAAGCCCACAAGGTTCGAGCCTTCCAAGCCCCTCTTCAATGAAATAACAAACATGAGGGACCAAAACTGTTGTGAAATAACAAACACTAGAGACCAAATCCCAGTTTCCGAAGTTTAGAGACGTTATCCCTTGAAATCGACAAGCGTTAGGAACCAAAAGTGAAGTTTACTCTTTAATATATGTTGGAACTCAGTGCTCTCCTCAACGTCTCTTTTAAAAGCAACTTGGGATTGAGACAAGATGATGTTCATAAGACCCGTGAAACACATTGTGGGCCCTTAGTTGAGCTTTTCTTTATCTCACCGAACCTTCTCAGTAAAACACCAGACCTTCACGGCAAAAGACACGGAACCTTCAAATGAAAAACACAACAAATATTCACAGAAAAGAACACCGAACCTTCGGTGATAAACAAAACGATTGTTTGTATTACACCAACAAATGAAACAAGTGATGAAAAAACTTCAGGTAAAGGGGCCGAACAAATCTCGAGCATTTTCTAAAACTCAGACCCTGTAAAAGGACGTTATAAATTTACCCTTATTAATAAAGCCGGTAGGACTGTCCAAAAACGGTCATTGTACACGCTCTACACTTGTGTGTGGATCGTGACTCTCGGATGCTTGGCCTCCATTTTCCGCGATTTCCAAAGTGACATCAGAATCATTATCGATGCTGGGTTCGGAATTGGTGCTGGAGTTGAAGGTGGTGGTGGCGGCGGTGGCGGCAGTGGCGGTGGCGGCGGTGCTGGTGGAGGATGTTGCATTCCCTGAGCGGATTGGGAGGAGAAAACTCTGCATTCTCGAAAGGTAACTCTGGCTAATAGGTTGAGTTTGAGCGTGTTGTGTTGTTGAGAGAGTTGATGAACGGTCGGGATCAGGCGGGATGTTAGGCAGATCGTTTAGTTCAAGGTTGGGAAAGACGGAACACCGGCATCGAGGGCATTTTGTGTTTAACATAAGCCATTTATCGATGCATGCCACATGGAAGTTATGAGCACAAGGCAAGCCACGAACCTGAAACTCATGTTAGAAAGGAAAGGTAGGCTTGTTAATTGTATTCTTCACTGTGTTCTTAAAATTATTCAACACTACGATAAAATCGGTTTTATAGGACACCAAATATATCTAAATGTCCTAATAGACTGCTTTACAAGACAAGTTTACATAACCAAGGAATTGTGTGTTAAATGTAAAGGTGTCACAATAAGTTGATACTTCTCAAAAGTGTCCTATCATCCTATATGGGTAAGAGTTGATCCCAAACCGTCCCCACACGGAACCAATGTGAGGAGGCATTTTTTGGCTCACTCAACGGCTAAGGCTAGCGGGGGACCCGAGACTAAATCCAGGACATGTCTTGTTTGGGAAACTAAGCTACATGCTAGAGGCCTTATCATCCTATTGTAACACCTTTTTATAAGATGCACAATTGTTCAGTCTTATAAAGCAGTCTATCAAAACGTTTAAACATATTTGAAGTCCTATAAAACTGATTTTGTTGTAATGTCAAGAGTCGGTTAGTGCCATGATTTTTTTAGCATCATACTCGGTTTTTCATAGCAAAATGCAAACAGAACACTATAGTTTGAGAGAATGAACTTAGACATTGCTCAAATGTAACTGTAAATAAAAAATAAAAACACTGTAGCATTTTCTTATGTTCATTAAGAATGATGGTTTGCTTGCAATAAATAAGCCAAGTACGATAGTTCGAAAACTCAACACACTGTACTTTCAAGTGATAAAAGGGTTGCAATGATACAAGGTCATATATGTACGTATGTATATATATATAGGGAGACCTTTTGAGAACTCTCTAAATAGTATATTATATATAAATATAGAGAGAGAGAGAGAGAGCGCGCGCGCTAAGATCATTTGTTAACCATGAAAAGAGTATTAACTCTACAAACCATTTAGACCAATCACAAGCCTTTGTTAGATTAGATTATTCTATCATCATGCAATTAATATTGAGGATACAATGGTAATCTTCTTTTTTGTCTTAATTTCATATTCATTAATAGGCGGTTACAAAAACATCAACACCATGATTATAGCTAAAATAATATGTTTATTTTTTGTCCAAACTATTGGTGATTTGTTGTTTTAATATGATAAAAAACTCGGATCTTCTATCTTCAACATATATGTAATCGGCACATTCTTCACATAAAAAAACTGGGTTTGATTTATTGAACGATAGTAGTGGTGGAGGAGTGTACGGTAGATAAATATTCATAATTGAGATATACAAACATGGGTGAAGATGGTGGAGCACAATACAAGAAGATTGAAGATCTTATGATTAAGAAGTATTTTGTTCACATGTGAAAGCCAATAAATTAAGAGTTCACCGGTGTTCATACGGTGTATATAATTGTTCACATGTGTTCCAATTTTTTCATAAAACAATATCTATACACATCTAACATTTGGTCAACATGTGTTCACAAATGTTCACATGCGAAAGCCAATTACTTTAGTGTTCATAAGTTCTAATAGGTGCAAATAAGTGTTCCCGTATGTTCATATGTGAAAGTGAAGAACTAAGATTTAGTTAATAAGCTACCTATATGTTCATATGTATTTATAAGTGTTCAATACAATGTTCATAATTCAACACAAATGGTTCTACGAACTATAAAAGGAAGAAGCAAAAATCCCGATTTGTAACCAATGTAAAAAATATATTGTCCATCTCTCCCAAAAATACCCATGTTCACCTATGTTTTGATATCCTTCTTTTTTAATTAATTACAAATATGTCACAATTCATGGATTTTAAGAATCAAGGGTAAGATTGGTTTATAGAGTTAATACCAATTATTGGATTAACAAAAGAACCTACCCCTAGGTTCAGTGGAAAACCCCAAAAAATTGAAAAACTGAGGAACACCCTAGTAACCATTCATCTGGATGGTATGCACATGTTCATACAAGTGATTGAAGCTGTTTTTTTTTTTTGGTTTTTATGCACGTGTGCATGTTACAAGTTACTTGTATGCACATGTGCATACCCTTCCAGAAGAACGGTTACGAGGGTGTTCCTCATTTTTTTGCAGTTTCCCTGAACCTGACCATATATGTGTGTGTGTGTATTTGACAATTATAAAGGCGTAAAATTAAGAAGAAATGTTACCCCATCCCCGACATGGAACTCCTCCAAACAAATCGGACAGTCGCTACAGTCAGTTGGAACAGCTTTCAGCGAGAACAATGGAAGTTCCTGAATTAATGCCTCCAATGCTTGCCTCTACATGCCAAAATTAGAAGCCACTCATTCCCTCTGTCCGAAAATAAGTATCCATATCTATTTTAGTTTGTCCTAATATAAGCGTCTACTTTTAAAAGTAAGTGACTATTTTTCAATTCTACCCTTACCCATGAGGTGCAGAAAAACTACTCCCTTTATGATCAAGGGAAAAATTGTCATTCACTTAATTAAAAAGTGTAACAATTACACATTTTTAAGACTGTGTGCCTTTTTTGTTGTGTACGTTTATTTTTTGACCAAGGGAGGATGAGTTTAAAAAAATAGGTGAGACACTCTAGATGGCAAAAAAACAAATAGAAGTTTCAGTTTTACATGTCAAGTTCGGTAGCAAACAACACTTATTTTGAACTAAAAAATTTATTTGATATATGATTGCAGGCCGAATAAGATGATGTAATTGTCACATTCCAAAACCATCATGGTTTTACATTAGTTGTTACCTGGGCGCTAGATAAGTAAAGTCCGGGATGATGTGGGGTGGTATCTTGTTCCATGGCTCTCATCTCTTGAGCAGCAGTTTCAAACACCCAATCTGGTAGACGAATCATGTCTACCAACACCTGGAAAGATACAGTTGGTATTTAAAGGCCGAGCAGACCAAAAAAGAATGAAGAAGAACAGAAACATGGTATCAGGATCTTACAACAAGATTCTGAACAAAATATCCTAATAAATTTAACGAGCTCAAGTAATTTAGCAAAACGAGCTTTGGGTGCAAGAATCAAGCAGCTAATTTACGGTATCAAAACTTTTGGAGGGGTCATTCACCTCAAAAGAACACTAGCTTAGATAAAAAGATGCCAAAAGAAGAATAAAACCAAACCAAACCAAACGAGCCCAGTATAGCACAGCCGGAGCCCGGAGGTGGGGTACGGAATTGGGATGTATGCAGACTTGGCCTTTACCCAAAAAAGTAGAGTGGGTTTTTCTGTGAAGATGTCCGACTTGTGCAAAGTGTGCGAGAGAGAAAAAAAACGATAAAGAAGAATTCGAAAACAAGAAAGGTAGTGCTAAACTTTGAAAAATGGGTTAGAAGTAAGAAACAACATTGAAAAATACAAACAAATAAAACATACAAATAGAGCGGGGGAAAGAAAACATAAGAAGGGTACGCATACCTACACACCGCTAATCTAACCTAGGACTCGGGAGGCTTATCTGCCGGCTTACTAACCCTACCAGCTACCCTCATCCTCTATCACACCAGATTCCTTCATCCCAACTAAGCTAGATACTGATCTCTACTCCTAATCTACTACCCTAGTCTTGTGTCTCCAAGAACTCCTATCAGAGGTCATGTCCTAGAAAATACTTAAAAAATCAGAGGTCATGCCAAGAAAACAATCTAGCACAATAAAATAACTTAGCTATTAACAAACTATCAGCAAAACATAAGATAAAAAACAAACTCTAGCAAGCATCTAGAAACATAACACAGGGAGAAAGTGAAAGCCTCCATCAAAAGTAACTCTTAGATGATGAAATACAGATGCTAAGACAACATCTCTTGTTTCTGGTATGCTTTCTGCCTTCCATTGTCGATATCTGTCTTCGGTTTTTCACCATGAGGAAGTGCCAAATATCTTTCTTACATGATCATGCTATAATAACAGTTTAATGTGCATAATGTCACATGCGGGCCCCTAGAGCACTTTTATTCATTATCTTGGGAGTTAAAAGAGTATTTCTATGTTGAATATGTGGATAATAGATAGACTGACACTTAACATGAACACTACAACAAAATCGGCTTTATAGAATACCAAATATGTTTAAATGTCCCAATAGACTACTTTATAGGATATAAATTTCTTGGACACATATGTTCAAATGTCCTAATTAGTTGATAGGATGCTTTTGTGCGTCCTAACAAGTTTTTTAGGACACTTTTGAGAAAAGTGTCAGTATTAATCTTTTTTATACGACACTATTTGAAAAAATGTCTCAAAAAAACAAGTCCTACAAAAAAATGTGTTCTGACATTTCTCAAAAGTTTCCTATAGAAAAACTAAAAGGACGCTTTATTTCAAAAGTGTTGTAAGAACTTGTTAAGATGCCTAAAAACATTTTATCGACTTATTTTAACACTTCTACATAGGATGCAAAATTGTTTGGTTACATAAACTTAAGTCCTATGAGGCAGTCTATTAGGATATATAAACATATTTGGCGTCCTATGAAACCGATTTTGTTGTAATGTGAACTTCCAACAAAGGAACCACGTATAGGTACAAAAGAATGTATGGAGGAACTCCCAAAGCATCAACTTCATGGAGTAACCCATACAGCTTTACATGTTCAGGCAGGTTGCACAGGGTAGCACACAAAAGGAAAAAAAAACAGTAGAGGTTACCCCATATTCGGAAATACCGGAAATAGGGATCCCCTGTTGGGCACGTTGCAAATGAGCTTTTCTTCTTGTTAACCACTGCATAAGAGGTCCAAAAATTGGAGAAGATCATAAAGTTATATTTCAATAAAAACAGCCTCCTTAAACATACTGAGAAACGAGAAACAAGCAGGAGGAGGGTATATTTTACCTTATTCACTACATAGCCAGCAAGACAAATGAGTCCACAGTAGCTGAAAATCAACCATACAAGAAAACCCCATTTCTGATTCTTTTCAGGCAACTGCAAGAATTTAAACACAACCATCGGAGGTTTTACTTGCAATAGTATTGTCCTACTGGTTTATTACAAGAAACGAAAACGTCACACATACACAGGTTTGCGCACTAGTGAACCATACACTTCCCATAATACTCCATGCCCAGAGAAATGGATAGAGCACAACATAGAGGATGGATAGAATCACTACTCTTCCAAGAAAACAAGCATCTCTTTGCTGCCGACCATAATCCCTATATCATATGAAAAAGAATTGAAATATCAGAAATGTGATCTTCATGAACCAGAATGACAGAACATTAAGTTGATCAACGACATAGAAGAAGATAATTTACATTTTGGAAGGGAACATTATAACACCTGAACCAATAATACAAAAAACATTTTTATAAATGAATTTGATGCACTTTGGATATAGGGAAAAAATTGAAAGAACTGACAAACTGTATTAAGAACTAGAGCAACCAGCATTCGAGAGGCTAGAACTCTCCCTCAACTCCTCAAGACACTGTAAGGTCTTTACAATCACAAAGAAATCAAATGCTCTCCAACTTGATGCTCCGACCCTTGTATACCCAAACATCACTACCATTTACTAATTCCCAACTAACCCTCCATGACTGATTGCTACCATTCGATACAAACTTTTATTAACTACCATCGGTATTTACTATAATACTCTTATTCCTTTTATCTTCTATTCCTCCTGAAACCTCACTGCAGGTTTATCAATACTCCAGATTTTCAGCTTGTCCTCAAGGTGAAAATTAGAACATTGCTCGTTAAAAACTTCATAATCTTCCCACAAAGTTAAAAAACGAGGCAGTCCTATCCATTTAACCAACACTTCCAATACACTTGTCTGACCATTATGTGGAGTTTGAAGCTGTAGTACTTCTTCTGGTTCTACTATCATTTTCATCTCCTCGTTCAACAACGCCGGTAGTGTTGTTGAAGAGACATAATGACCAATAGCACGCCATAGTTGTGATATATGAAACAACCCATGGACTTTTGTAGGAAGTGGTAACTCCAGCCTTAACACCACCTTTCCCACTTCCTCTGTAATATGAAAAGGACCATAGTGCATTGCAACCAGTTTCTGATTGTTGCGTGATATGAACGAATTCTGTCTATATGGCCGTAATTACAGGAAAAAAACAAGTCACCTACTGCCAAATTCAACTCCTTTCTATGTTGATCAGCTTGCTGTTTCATCTAGTGTTGGGCTTGAAGTAAATGCATTCTAAGAGTATCCAAGATATCATCCATATATTTCAGCACTCTTCCACCATCTGTACACTTGAGGAACCCACCTTAAATGTAATATTGTTGGTGGATCTCTTCCATGTAAGGCTTTAAATGGTGACACCTGTAAAGCGTTGTGTTATACCAATATTCTGCCCCTGAAGCATGAAAAATAATTTTCCCACTGTTTTGGTTTGTTCGAGACAAAGCATCTTAAATATTGTTCCACACACCAATTAACTACTTCCGATTGACTGTGCGACTAAAAGTGATAGGCAGGGGTATACTTCAATGTTGTCCCCTGTAGCTTGAAATTTTCTTTCCAGAAATCACTTAGAAAGATCTTGCCTCTATCTATATTCAATAATGTTGGAATACCATGTGACCGTACCACCTCCTTGATGAACATTTCAGCTGTTGATTTAGCTGAAATTGAATGTCTCAGCACTATGAATGGGCAACTGAGACGATCTACAACTACCATGATAGTGCCCATCCCCTCTTATTTCAGTAATCCTTCAACGAAATCCATTGTGGCTTCCTCCCATACCATTATTGGTGGTGGAATAGGCTGTAATGAGCCCACTGGTGATGCGCTCAAAAGTCGTGTTTTTTTGACATCACAAATTGACTCACCATATCTCTAACATCAGCTTTCATTCCCATCCAATATACCTCTGGCTCTGCTGCCATCCTTTGATCAGTTTGGTCTTCCCCTGAATGCCCTCTTACAGGAGAGCCATGAAAAGTTTCAAATAACAATGGAGTCATAGTCAACGAGCAAGGTAAAAACAATCTGTCTTTGTACCATAGAAGCCCTGAAGTCCATGTCTCCTTTGCAAAACCCTTATGTTATATCGTTTTTATGTACTTCAAAAATCTTGCCCAATAGCTTGTCTTCCGTCATTTCTTTCTTGATATGATCCCAGTGTCTCCATTGAAGTCCCTCCACCCCATCACGAACATTCTATTTCCTCGCTGCATCTGGACAAGGCGTCTGCCACTTGGTTACACCTCCCCGCCTTGTAGCCAATAGCTTTGCCAGCCACTTTTGATATTGGGGATTTGGGGTCCCAACCATTGTTCTAGTAAAAACTTTAAACTCAATTGATTCATCCGCACCACAAACTTCCCTCCTAATAAGTAAAGTCTCCATTTGATAATCAAGGATACTATGTCCCAACGCTCAGCTGTGGTAGGTTATAGGTTGCTCTTCTTGCATTAAAATTGTGCCTAATGCTTAGCCTGAGGCATCAGTTTCGACTACAAATGGTTTACTAAAATAAGGTCGGAAAAGGTGTTATCGTGAGGGCTGCTTTCCGCTGCTGAAATAAATCTTTGTTTTTTCTTCATTGCAAATGGATGCTTGTTCCTTCAATAAATCTGTTAAAGATTTTGCAACTTCTCCATATCAAGCAATGAACTTCCCATAATATACTCAAACATCACCGCCATTCAACCAACTCCCAACTAACCCTCTGTGATTGCATTTCATACCGACTTTTATTAAGTACCATCACCGTTTACTAAAACATCCCTATTCCTTTATCTTATATTCCTCCTTGCATGTGTAAACCTCAATGCAGAATTATCAGAATCAGAATGTAACATTTACTCCACTGCAAGAGAACTTACAATTGAGTCCAAGTATCGTCATCTTTTTCTCAACTACTTAACCAGAAAATAGTTGATGTATGAGCTCATAGAAGTCAATTACTTCACATCTACTATGAGTTATGGCCAGATAAAAAATCATCCAATCATTTGCAAGTAATAATGACAATAACTAGCCTCAAAAGCAGTAATAGATTACCTACCATGTTAATTTTTTGTTATGAAACCATGAACTATCGTTGACCTAGTTAAAAATTGTGAAAACCCATATTCCCTATCACTTTCAGTGCATAGCATTTGGATATCATATTTACAAGTCAAAAATAATGGCATTCACTGAGGACGAGGAGGACTTACAATCCCATTCCAGCTGCAAGAGCATTGTCTACAAACATCAAGAGGCGAAAAACAAAGACAACACCGTAATCAACCTAATCCAAAGACATAAACAGTCTCTATAAATGCAGTAAAACAAGTGAAAACAAGCAAGATTTAACCAAACAATAACAAGTTTACCCACCACTATCCACAGATGCAACGGGAATTTACAAAGATAGTAGCGCTTCCAACTCAAAAGAACCATGACTCTGTTTGGTTAAATTCGTCAAGAAAACAACACAACATCCTTGAAAGAATAAAAAATAATCATAACACAATTCACAGAAAGACATGAAATTAAATACAGGTGTTCTTCCGGAGAATTAGCACGGTTCACCTCTACTAAACTACTAGTCGAATGAACATTCAGATGTTCGAACCCGTTACCCCGTAGAGCAGATAAATATAATTCAACACTCAATCACTCCCCCTCTACCCCTTCCAATGCTACTTTATAACATCATATTATACATATTTGTAATATATCACCGTTACATCCGAATTTCATTTCAAATAAGAAAAAGGATACATACTAAACGCAAGCATTGATAGAAAAAATCCATCGTACCTGCAAATATTCGAAATTAAAACAAATAATCATATTCATCAACATAAAACACAACAAAAACACATAATTTTATATATGATCAGATATACGATATGATACACGAACCACTTGAAGTGTATGCCTCTGATCGCCATGGATGAAGATAATCTAGCGGCAAAACCTAAGATTCACTACCAATAATCGATTAAAAACACTCATTTCCAAGGTAAATAGAACTGATTTCGATAAGTGAATCAGTGAATTCGAAGAACAATCGACCGAGATAAATGGTGATCAGGAAAAAGTTAATCGGGACTGAAATCCCCAAGAAGTGACGATCAGAGCTTGAGTATATAAAAGCGGGGGAATATGTTATATGCGGTCTTGGGTTCTTTAAATTACCAAAATCGTCCTTGTCTTTAATCTTTATACCATGTTTAGCTCCTTGACTTCGAGTAAATTACAAGAACAGTCCCTTATTGTGTTTAGTACATAGAGTAAATTACGATTTTAGTCCCAGTGGTTTGTTAATAATTTTGACTTTCATCCCTATGGTTTAGAAATTACCAATTTCGTCCTTAGAGTTTGTTAATAATTTCGATTTTCATCCATATGGTTTAGAAATTACGATTTTCGTCATTACTGTTCGCAATTTATCGCTATTTTCATCCCTGTGCTAAATCTTACCTTTGAGCATAAGAGACCCAAAACAACAAAAATATTACAAAATACATGAACCGAAACAACAATAACTTGTAAATAATAAGGATGAAAATAGCAATAAAAATAAAACCATAAGGAATATTATTTAAAGATTTACTCGACATATCTATACTATATTATAAAGCATTTGACAAAAAACTCTTAAAAAATATTTTTTATGCATGAAGTACTGTATATTGATGTATATTACTTAAAATTCAAGATTACAAATAAATTGTACATAAGTACAACTTATTAAAGCTCCATGTTTGAATTCATGTAACTAACCGGGGATAAACATAATCAAATAGAAAATAAACATGTTATTTTAAAATATAAAAAATCTAAAATATAATTAAGATAATTATCGAGTTCTAACAAAATAATTAATTATTATCTTTATCAGAAAATCATATTATTAAACCAAATATAAACTACTTCGTTATTGAACCTAAATTAAATTATAATAAAAAAATTAAATTAAAAAATTACACAAAAAAATTGAATTTTAAATAGTTAATTTGATACTAATATCGATATATTTTTATCAAAATTTTATGATATCTTCAAATTTATATTTTATACAAAAATAAAAAACATCATCATTTTTTTCAAAATAACATAAGACCATACTATAGCATCGACTGAGATAAATAATAAAATAAAATATTAAAATCAAGATATATCTCGCTGCATTGTGCGAGTACCCTTCTAGTCTAATTTATAATTATTTTATCGTAAATGTTTCTGATAAATTTGTTTAGATATTTATTTATTCAATTATGTCCTTTTGAACCCAATTACCCAATGTAACCAGATGAACTTCATACCCTTTTATATGTTATATTATGCCTTTGATTTGCACAGTTGCGGTATACAACTGGTTAGCTCTTTTCACAAGTATATCATAATCCCACATCTTATTTACAATCTCCAACTTTCTTGTTGGTGTTGGTTTGGCTTTTTCTTTGTTTCTCGTGTAGCATAAATAATCAGTTAACTGGTAGTAGTAATAGTGGTTCTCGAAAAGTACTATTCAAGTGTTGCTGTTATGTCCCAACTTGACGAACCCAACTCACACGGGTTGGGTTATGCTTTTAGTAATTTTCTTAACGAGTTGCTATTTTTCAAAACATACTAATTGGAATTGTTGTTCAAATGCCTTTAAACCGACAACTCACCACTGTGCGACCTCGCATATAGGCACAATGTTTGGATTAGCAGTACTGTAGAAAAAATTAGGGTTAAATAATACTTGATAAATCTTAAATACCACATAATCGGTATATAAAAGTTTAAACATCACATGATATTGAGAGATGTAATTTTAAGATGAATTTGGAAAAATATTTAAGAAAAATGTAGTAGTAATAAAAGATTGTAAGACAAGTTATGGTGAGAAGCGTAAAAATAGATCTCCACATTTCAGTCAATAATAGTTGAATGTCAACAGTAATGAGGTGTACCGAATCAATTCCTTTCTAAAGCGCAATTTATGGACGGTCATGAGACTAAAAGTGATCAAGGGTAACCACAAGGGTGGTGCCCAATTGGTTTGAGTTTGGACTCCAAATGTCAAAAGTATCTAGAGGTTCCATGTTCGAATCCAAGGAGGAATAAAACCCCCTTTATGGCCATGGAGGTTCAAATGCGGTGACTTCGAGCTACCCGTGGTTGTTTTGGGATTAGTCGGTTCACATATCGGGTTGGATATCCAGGTTAATAAAAAAAATGATTAAGGGTTGAGATTTTTTCTTACACTTCTCAACATAACCTCAATTCTCACACGATCCTTTGCCTGTATGTGTGTATATATCTATACTATATTATAAAGCATTTGACAAAAACTCTTAAAAACCATTTTCTATACATGAAGTACTGTTTATTAATGCATATTACTTAAAATTCAAGATTACAAGTAATTTTACGTAAATACAACTTATTAAAGCTTCATTTTTAAATTCGTGTAACTAATTACAGATAAATATAATCAAATACAGGATAAACATCTATTTTAAATATAAAAAATCTAAAATATAATTAAGATAATCATTAAGTTCTAACATAATGTTTAATTATTATCTTTATAAAAAAATATTGTGAAACTAAAAATAAATTACTTTGTTATTATATATAAATTAAATTACAATAAAAAATTGAATTAAAGAAGTTACATCAAAAAAATGAAAACTATTAAATAGTTAATTTGATGATAATATCGAATTATTTTTTTCAAATATATATTTCATTCAAAAATAAAAATATTACCGCTTTCTCAAAACCACATAAAATCGTATCATATCGATAGAGACAAAGAATAAAAACTAAACATTAATATTGAGATTTATCTCGCTACATTGTGCGAGTACCCTTCTAGTATATATATATATATAGGGTATATTTCTTTTACAACCTTGTGTATTTGTACAATCCTTGCAACCCAATTAATTGAGATATTTATAGAAATGATGAGAGTTCATTTATTATGATTTGAATATTTATGGAATATGAATAGTGTTCATTAATTATGATTAATACTTTATATTAAGAAACAATCAAAACTTCTATAAAATCACATATTCATCAAATGAAATGGACAGTTGAGATTGAGTTGTATTGGTTGTACAAATGTCAAGAGTTGTATAATAACCAACCTCTATATATATATATAGAAATAGAGGTTTAATATATTCTTATTTTTTCGTCAATTCGTAAGTAACGTACATTAGGTATAATTTCAACATCAATGGTCATATGTCGGCTTGAAAAAGACGAATTTAATGAATGCATAAAAAGATAGAACAAGGATTGAAACTGTGATTGATTAATTCAACATACAGTAGAAAATGACAGTATATAACTCATGTCTGACTATACTTATAATCTTATATCATATATAGACATAGTTATATTTGTTTTTAACAAATACATAATCGTATGCATATATCTGTTTCTTGATTCTAATAAAAGTAAATGAATAATGTATTAAGAAAATCTGTAGTCGAGTATATTCAAATGTATACGATCTATAGTTGAAATTTAATAAATGGGTGACCTTTTACGTAAATATGTGGTTTGTGGATTAAAGACCAACGGAGTCGAGGCGAGCAAGGGTGCACCTACGGTGTATTGGGTCATTTTTTTTTCCCGTTAACATAGTGTATACCTGAATTTTTATAGTGATAATACAGTCAAATCCTGAAAGTTGGATCTGACAATGAATTTTATGGGCATGGGCATTAAAACGACTCTTAAATACGAATATACTCAATGGGGACCCTAAATAGTAACTTTAGATTTTACACTTTATAGATTTATCTAATCAGATAAATATCATTCACAATTTCACGAATTCATAAACGTTATGGACTCACGATTAAAACGAAGTTGTAAAATTATCTTTCTAAGTTCTATTTTAAATATTGAATCAAAAACTATATTATAATAATAATATATGTGATTTTACTTGTTATAATATGAATGTACATCTTTAATATCATTATCTGATTAGAATAATATATAGAAAACATATACGTATATATATATATATATAATTATATATAATATACAAATTTACTATTTTACGTCACGATTTGGAAAACGTCGCGTCCTCGGCATGACATGTAAAGCTTGAGGTTTGATCTGCCAACACGCCACGAGCTCATGCCATTTTGAACCTTGGTTTTAGGGACCAGGTTTTGTACATGGAGTCCCCTCTGTTGTTCTTGGTCGGGACCAGATACGATGAGACCGGTTACAAGAGGACAATCTCAACCCGAGACCGGTTTTTAGCCATCTCTACCTAAGAGCATCTCTAATAGATTCTTCAAAATAAAGAAAATGTAGGTTTCGACAAGTTTTTTGCTTAAACAAAATTTTCAAATAAAGAAGATAGGAGAGAGTATGAAATTCTACATATTTAAGAACTCTCCAAAACCAAAGGGACTTTGACATAGCGGTATGTGAGTCTTTGACCTTCTAGCAAGTTAGGGGTCCAAACTTCACAAAATGTGAGGAGAGTGTATGAGTTTATTTGTTCTGTTTTGTCATATATAAATATTATATACTTTAAAAAAATATAATATTTAATAATATAATAATATATTATACTGATAATATTTATATGAAGAAGCTGTTGAAGTTGAAATTGATTGCTAAATGACAATCTTAAATCTTGTTTTTTTAGTTTGAAGAATACCTAGAAATGTTGTAATATTATGAAAACAAAAATAGTACTTTTTAATAATTATATGTCCTTTCTCGACATAGCGATTCGTCATCTCATAATTAATGGTTGTTTGTACGTTAACAAAACAAATAACCATAAATATTTTGAATTCTTCAGAGTAGGGGTGCTTAAAAACCCGACCAACCCAATTAACATGAAATAACTTAACCTGAAGGAACCCGATGTCTAATCGAGTTGTAAAATTTTCAAACCGTAGGTATTTGATTGAAATTGCGTTACTATTATTTGAAACTAACTCAACCCGATGAACCCGATATCCTTGTATTTCTTGGTTTTATTATGATTGTTGAGTTTCTATTAATATATACATTAGACAATTACACTATCACGTACCCTCTTCATATAGACATATTTTCAATCTATTCTCCGTCTTTATATAACTCATTCGTATATATGTTCAGCAATTGTGAACATATATATGTAAATTGAGAAAATTAATTATATGTGATATACGTAAGATTTAAGAAGTATTGATAAGTTGTATCAAATGGTTGATGATGAAAAACAAATTATGAGTAGAGAAATAACATATTCAAGGTTAGAATAATATTTTAATGTACCAAAGTATCAACCCGACTAACTCGACCAACCTGTACAGTTTGGGTTGGGTTGGGTTGGGTTAAGACTTTTCAAATCGCAAACATTGTGTTGGATTGTTCAAGTGTTTTCAACCCGATCAACCCCATCCATGAGCACCCATACTCTAGATAATAAAAAGTTTACTATATCTCTAACATATATTATATATATCTATACTATATTATAAAGCATTTGGCTAAAACTCTTAAAAACTCTTAAAACTCTTAAACCCTTCCCATGTCTGAATTAGTGTAACTAACTGCAGATAAACACAATCAAATACAGGATAAACATCTCATTTTAAATATAAAAAATCTAAAATATAATTAGTATAATCATTAAATTA